CCTGGATGGTCTCTTGGGGTCACTCCACAATCTACATCCTTTGTGTTTACTGCTGGTGTGCAAGCAATGCCTAGGATTCCACTGTCATTGGACAGCAGAGCTCATAGGCTAAAGGCACAGAGCCAATCAGAGTGGCGCTATGCCTTATGATCCCTGTGATGGGGGAACGGTTTAAAGTGCCACTGAAGACCAATATTGTGGGACAGCTTTTTTGCAGGGGGGGGGGGCTTAAAGTGCCAGTGACCACCAATGATGGTGGGATTGTTTTTGGGGTGGTTTCCATGGTTTGGGTCCATTCTTTCTCCATACAATGCGATTTCTGTGCAGTGCAGCTTCAGTTTCCTGGAACTTTCTGGAACCAACAATAAAAGGCTTGCCCTTGGCTTTGGTGGGTGAATTTTATTGGCTAAGTGCACCTTAACCCCCTCAGTACAAGGAATGTTTCCTGAAGCGGTAGTAAGCACCAAAAGCTCTCCTGTAGGTACAAGGAATACCTCCTAAATGTGCACCGTGTAGGAGACAATCTCTGTTTGTGACGTCACCACGCTCTGAAGGGACGACATACTCCTGCCATCCCTTCAGAGCTCCATGCCGTAGCCGTGACATCACTGTGGCTCAGCCATTTGAATGGCTACAGTCCATGAACTGGGAAGGAAGACCGGGTGAAGATCGAAGCCCCGTCAGCGGCGAAGGCTTCGTTCTAAGGTAAGTATTCCATAATGTGAAGGAATGCGAGACTTACTGACACCTTATGACTGACACCTCCTGACTGACACTGAAGGGGGGAAAGTGTCCGGACCGGAAGGGGGGGGGGAAAGTGTCCGGACCGGAAGGGGGGGGGGGAAAGTGTCCGGACCGGAAGGGGGGGGGGGGGAAAGTGTCCAGACCGGAAGGGGGGGGGGGGGAAGTGTCCGGACCGGAAGGGGGGGGGGGGTGTGTCCGGACCGGAAGGGGGGGGGGGGGGAAAGTGTCCTGGACCGAAAGGGGGGGAAAGTGTCCGGACCGAAAGGGGGGGGGGTGTCCGGACCGGAAGGGGGGGGGGAAGTGTCCGGACTGGAAGGGGGGGGGGGGGAAAGTGTCCGGACTGGAAGGGGGGGATAGTGTCCGGACTGGAAGGGGGGGAAAGTGTCCGGACTGGAAGGGGGGGGGGGGGGGGGGGGGTGAAAGTGTCCGGACTGGAAGGGGGGGGGGGGGGGGGAAAGTGTCCGGACTGGAAGGGGGGGATAGTGTCCGGACTGGAAGGGGGGGGAAAGAGTCCGGACATGAAGTGGTTAATAAACACACACTTACCTGTCCCGGGGTCCGGCGATGTGCTCACCTGCAACGTCTCTTCTCTCCCCGGCGCCGGAATATCAACTGTGCGCACCAGGCTGTGACAGCATGCGGCTTCACAGCTGGGTGCCCGCTCCGCATGCGTGAGTCATACTGCGCATCCTGATTGTCTGGCAGTCTTCTGGGACCTGTGAAGTGTCCCAGAAGAGTTCAGGAGGAAGGAGGGGGGTTCCTAACTTCCGGCTCACTTCACCTCTGCGCAGTGGGCTGGAAGTGGGAGAGGTTACCTGTCAAAACCTCGTATCCACTCCCCCCAAAAGTGCCAAATATGGCAGTAGAGGGGGGAGCAGGTAAACAGGCGGAGCTTCCACTTTTGGGTGGAACTCCACTTTAAGGTGAAAAAAGATCACCTTGGGGAGTCCACTTTATTCAGAGGGGTCATTTGAGAGCGTTTGTACTTTTTTGGCATTTGACTTTGATATGTTTTATAACAGAAAGTATTAAGCTCGGTGCTTACCAAATACCAAAGGAAACTTCTATCTGTCTGAAAAAAAAATAATAATCATTTGTGTACAGTCCTGCATGACCCAGTAATGGCAAAACTATCACAGCTGACAGGAGCTGAATCACCTGCTGGTGGTGCTGTGATTTCCAGAGCAGAAGGTTGTAGTTTCAGCGTCCACCAGCAGGTGCCTCTCAGGATCAATGGCAAACAGAATCTGGCATCAGCAGAACACTGGAGTGAGAGGGAAATGAAGACGAGGGAACTAAATACCTTCCAAGCAGCTAACATCAGGTGGAGACATTGCTGGGATCTGCTGGCTAATGGGAGGGTATTTAGTTCCTCCGCTACATTTCCCTCTCCTGCCAGGGTTTTGCTGCAGCCAGATTCTGTTTGCCATTGATTCTGATATTGCTCCTGCCCTGTATTCTGCTGAGTGTAGCCATGCAGATCTGGCCATCCCTGCTGCTGATTCCTGACAAAAGTGCTAAAAACTAAAAAATGTCCTGAAAAGAGGAGGGTGTGAGATTCCAGTACTGATGTGTAAACTCTGATGGAGATTTTAGTAGAATTCAATGATAGCATGAAAACACCGCCTCGCAGGACTTGGCACCTTCATACCTTTGTGGTCATATTGTTGATGAAGTTCCGGCTCTGTTTTCCCACTTTTCTAGAAGCCAGAAAAATTGCCAACAACTACAGAAAACCTCAAGAAATAATGTTGAAGGTGCAATGGCTATGTGGCTCCTGGGATTTGTCCAGCTATGGAGGAACTGAGCTACAACCCCCCCTCATCCCCATCCCCATCCCTATTCCTCTTCTCATCTTGTTTGGTCCGCTGAAATCAACATAAACCATTTGTTAACCCTGTCTGATGTATGTGAAGACTTGCAAGCACCATCTGTACATGCTTGGGAGCGAGGGGTGGACTTTGACATCTTTGCACCACCCCCATTCCGGTCCTCATCCTGATTGGCCCTCTGTAAACCAATACGAGGTAACTTTGGGACCAGTGGAGAGGCTAACCCTTTGGGACCAGTGAAGAGAACACCATCTCTCATTTTGGTCTTTGCCCCCATCCCTGTCTGATCTAGTAAACCGAGGTAACTGTTGGGACCAATGTGAAGACAGCTTCAAACCCTGCACTAGCCATGTGAAGACTTGTCCCAGTCTCAGGGGGGTGGAGGGTGGTCTTTGCCCCCATCCCCATTCCTCTCCTTATTCCGACTAGTCCTCTGTAGAGCAATACGAGGTAACTTTGGGACCAGTGGAGAATGGCTCTCATTTTTTAACCCTGTCTGATCAAGCCGCTGTATGTGAAGACTTGCAAGCACCATCTGTCCCAACTTGGGGGTGGGGTGGAGGGTGGACTTTGACAGCCTTTCTCCAATCTTCATTCCTATTCCTCTCCTCATCCCATTGGTTCTCTGTAGACCAATACAAGGTAACCTTGGGACCAATGAAGACTAATTGTCATTTTGTAACCCTGTTCCAGACACTGGACTTGCAAGCACCATCTGTCCCAGCTTGGGGGTGGGAGGGTGGACTTTGACATCTTTGCTCCATCCCCATTCCTCTCCTCATCAGGTTTGGTTTTCTGTAGACCAATATGAGGTAACTTTGGGACCATTGGAGATTGGTTGTCATTTTTTGACCCTGTTCCAGCCACTGTATGTAAGGACTTGCAAGCGCCACCTGTCCCAGCCTGGGGACGGGGTGTACTTTGACATCTTTGCCCTGGTGCCCCATTACCTTGTCCCAGCACTTGCTCTGATGAAAAATTTCTGTACTTTTACTTTACCATAAGACATCCCGCCATCACAACAAAGTCACCACCACCAACAAGAAGACATTGTGAGCATTGATAGCATTTGTGTGTTTAATAATCTATATTATTATATTATACATTTACTGTGACAGGTTAAATATACATATATGTGCAACAGAAGGTGGAACCCAACACATCCATAACAATCCTTAGTGTGAACCAGCCACACAGACTTGTGATGCTGTTAACTCGCCAAGGTGTGAGAAATGGGATAAAATACAATTCTGTGCGACCCATAGACACATAAAACAAGACTCCACAGTAATAGTAACTCTGTATAAACAGGGATCATATTTCCTTCACTTGTCTAAATACTTCATACAAATTAAGACACTGGTGAGTCAAGCTCTGCATTCCTGAGGTATTCCTTTCATTTGATCTCCAGAGGCCAGAAGACTCCGCTGTCCTCATTCATTATTGAGAGTAAATTCTTCTAGAGGTGAACGGGACCTGACGGTGTTTACCCATTGCTGAAAACATCCTATGAATATGCTATCCTAATGATAGATAGTGAGATATGGTGATGACTTACTATGAATGTGCAGAAGACAATGTTCTCTGACTCAGAAGCAGGAATTGATGGTCTCTCACTCAGGAACAGAAAGAGACAATGTTCTCCTATGTAGAAGATGGGAAAGACAATGTTCTCCCACTCAGGAGCGGAAAGAGACAATGTTCCCCCACTCAGAATATAGAAAAGACAAGGTTCTCCCACTCAGGAGCAGAAAGAGACAATGTTCTCCCACTCAGAATATAGAAAAGACAAGGTTCTCCCACTCAGGAGCAGAAAGAGACAATGTTCTCCCACTCAGAATATAGAAAAGACAATGTTCTCCCACTCAGAATAGAGAAAAAAGACAAAGGTTCTCCCACTCAGGAGCAGAAAGAGACAATGTTCTCCCACTCAGAAGAAGGAAGAGACAATGTTCTCCACTAAGGAGCAGAAAGAGACAATGTTCTCCCACTCAGAAGAAGGAAAAGACAATGTTCTCCCACTCAGGAGCAGACGAGACAATGTTCTCCCACTCAGGAAGCAGAAAGAAACAATGTTCTCCAAATCATCAGAAGGAAGAGACAATGTTCTTCCCAATCAGAAGGAGACAATGAGGAAGAGACAATGTTCTTCCAATCAGAAGGAGGAAGAGACAATGTTCTCCTAATCAGAAGGAGGAAGAGACAATGGTCTCTAGAAGCAAAACAACGTTCTCCCAAGAAGAAGAAGGGACAATGTTCTCCCACTCAGAGGAAGGGAGACAAGATACAGGAGACAACTCAAGGGAAGAGAAAATGTTCTCCCACACAGAAAAAGGAAGAGACAATGTTCTCCCACTCAAAAGAAAGAAGAGACAATGTTCTCCCACTCAAAGATGGAAGAGACAATGTTCTCCCACTCCTAAAGAAGGAAGAGACAATGTTCTCCCACTCAGAAGATTGGAAGAGACAATGTTCTCCTACTCAGAAGAAGGAAAGACAATGTTCTCCCATTTCAGAAGCAGGAAGGGAAAATGGTCTCCCACTCAGAAGAAGGAAGAGACAATGTTCTCCCACTCAGAAGAAGGAAGAGAAAATGTTCTCCCACTCAGAAGAAGGAAGAGACAATGTTCTCCCACTCAGAAGAAGGAAGAGACAATGTTCTCCCATACAGAAGAAGGAAGAGACAATGTTCTCCCAATCAGAAGGAGGAAGAGACAATGTTCTCCCACATAGAAGAAGGAAGAGACAATGTTTTCCAATCAGAAGGAGGAAGAGACAATGTTCTCCCACATAGAAGAAGGAAGAGACAATGTTCTCCCAATCAGAAGGAGGAAGAGACAATGTTCTCCCACTGAGAAGAAGGAAGAGACAATGTTCTCCCACTGAGAAGAAGGAAGAGACAATGTTCTCCCACTCAGAAGAAGGAAGAGACAATGTTCTCCAATCAGAAGGAGGAAGAGACAATGTTCTCCCAATCAGAAGAGGAAGAGACAATGTTCTCCCACATAGAAGAAGGAAGAGACAATGTTCTCCCACTCAGAAGAAGGAATAGACAATGTTCTCCCACTCAGAAGAAGGAAGAGACAATGTTCTCCCACTCAGAAGAAGGAAGAGACAATGTTCTCCCACTCAGAAGAAGGAAGAGACAATGTTCTCCCACTCAGAAGAAGGAAGAGACAATGTTCTACTCAGAAGGAAGAGACAATGTTCTCCCACTCAGAAGCAAGAAGGGACAATTTTTTTCCCACTCGGAAGAAGGAAGTGACAATGCTCTCCTACACAGGAGCAGGAAGAGACAATGTTCTTCCCCTGAGCAGCAGGAAGTGATAGACTCTCAATGAAGAAAAATATCTAAAGACATCTACTAATTAATGCAAAGAACTTTTTTAGAGCAGGGTCCATATATAGAGCCCAAAGAAACTTGGTCACAGTCACATTTTCCTTGGAAGGCCCTGACTACACATCCCAAATCCCACAGAAATACTCTCAAGCTTGTTCTCTTGGAACGTCTCCACCCTTCCATGGTGGTACATGGACAAAGTAAAGTGCTTTGCATCCTTCCACAAATATCATCTTATACCTTCAGACACTTTAGCAACTCCTTCCTCAGTGTGCAACCTTTACCGTTTCCTTCTAAGATAACATGAGCTGACACCTATATCTACAGCTTCATCTTCAATCTATGGCTTTTTATCCACCCAACACAGACTGTAACCTTCATCAGAACTTTAAGAGTGCACAAATATTTCTGCCTTTGTGTGACCTTCGGGAAGCAACCCCGGGACAGAAATACAGAACCATGTAAATCCTGGATATTTCTGAGATGTAAAGTACTATTTCCTTCCTAAAAGCTGCACAACATATTCCAAAACACACCTACCACTAGCCGTACCACTAGCCACATAGGTCATTAAGGAAGCCTCACATATCTGCTTTGGTGGAGGCTTCCTAACGCACCTATCTCATGTCAGTCAAATCTTACAACTATCTTCATTTCACATCACTTTCCATTATGCAACCACCATAATAAGTATAGATGCACTTCTACAGAGAGGGGGGAGGGAGAATGGGGGGGGGGGGAGAAAAAATCCTGCAAACTGAGGTTCTTTGCAGCTTATAAATGACCATTTTGTCTTAATGACTATCAATGAATGAGTCCCCATTGACAGGAGTAAAATGATATTTTCTCACTGACAGTTTGGGTAGATCATGGAAGTCTCTGTCTGGTAAAGTCTCCTTAGTGGGACTGTGGAGGAACGTTCATCCATCCGTGAGTACAAGTTGACCTCCTCTCCTTGGAGGCTGTGTAGAACAAGAACAAAGGCTCTTCTTATCAATGGCCATGAACATCTGAAGATAATGACCCATCAAAGATCAGAAAACGGGATTCTGGTAACGTTAATGATGGCTGAGCAGATCTGACGGTAAAGGATGGACAGGACGAAGGGAGGTTTCCTCTAAATGATGATGTATTCTCATTACTCAATATAAAGAACAAGCAACGTCTTCATGTTCACTGGAGGAATTGACATCTACATATAGTATTCTGGACTTGTTAAAAACAAGGTCCCTCCCGTCCTCCCCGGTGTCAGTGTAAATGAGGAAGTATTGCGGTGTGTCAGTATCTGGAGGATTTTCAGGTCGGTCTCTTCACTTTGGACGGGACAGTCACCTGGCCAGTGCCTTCTACCTGAGGAAGAAGAAAAAAAAAATTAGGTCAACCATCACTTCTAAATAAAGGACACCAATGTCACATCAAAAGCATGGTAGGACTGCATGTTCAAAAAGATCTGAAAGTAGAAGTGTATGTGCTGGTCAAAACAACCAATCACATTCCAGACAAGTGTCTTTATTTACAAAAAAAAGACTGAAAGTGAAAGAGGAACCTGCTTGGTTGGTGGGGTCTTGTCTGGTCTGGTCTATGCGGATTATTCCTCTTATCAATTTGCTTTACAAACTGGATGTTTAGTAAGAGCGCTGTATTATTATTAGTTTTAATAAAGATTTTAAAATGAATATTATTAAGTAAAACTGTTACACTGTTTATAAAAATTTGTGTCTCATATGTTTATTTCCTATGATCCTCAGCTCCATCTAGTGGCCACAACCTGATTGAGGTATTTCAGGAAAAAACTGCATTATGGCCACTAGATGGAGCTGGTGATTTGTAGGAAACAAACACATTAGGTACCTTTTTTGTATATTTTACGGTATATGTTTACCAAGGATTATTAGAGCTCTATGGGTTAGCTGAACTCGCAGCACATCTGGAGGCTTGCTTTGACTGGCTGGACCTCAGACAAATCTGGAGGCTTGCTTTGATCAGCTGACCTCAGGCAAATCTGGAGGTTTGCTTTGAAGGCTGGATCTCAGACAAATTTGTAGGCTTGCTTTGACCAGCTGGACCTCAGACAAATCTGGAGGCTTGCTTTGAACGGCTGGACCTCAGACAAATCTGGAGGCTTGCTTTGACCAGCTGGACCTCAGACAAATCTGGAGGCTTGCTTTGACCAGCTGGACCTCAGACAAATCTGGAGGCTTGCTTTGACAGGCTGGACCTCAGGAGGCCTTTGGCAAGCTGGATCTCAGACAAATCTGGAGGCTTGCTTTGACCAGCTGGATCTCAGACAAATCTGGAGGTTTGCTTGCTTTGACAGGCTTTGGATCTCAGACAAATCTGGAGGCTTGCTTTGACTGGCTGGACCTCAGACAAATCTGGAGGCTTGCTTTGACCGTCTGGACCTCAGTCAAAGCCATCTGATAAGTGTTGAATCTATGATCTGACATTTTAGGTTGTCTGTGTAAATTGTACCTTGAATTATTGAGGCCTGGTAAGCAGGTGCAGTCTAGTTTCTCCACTGTAGGTGACGCTCATCCAGAGCGGCGGTGCAGCTGGAGGAGGACGTCAAAAGAAACTGGGTTTCTCCAGGGTTCCCTGGAGCAGCATTCCAGTTGGCTACTCTGCATTCATTGGTGGCCATCTTGGGTCACACAGAGTCTTCTTACGTCCCTGCCCCCCCAACCCCTCAACCCCCACCGGGTTTTGGAGAACTTTGGTGAACTGACTTGTGTAGAGAGTATATACCCATTTGTCAGGGACAGCCCTAGTGGCAGAGAGGCTACTGAAGAGTAGGGAAGGCTCAGGGCCTATGTCTACAACACCAGAGAGCTCCTCTTAGGGTTGGTCCAGCAGGCCACATTCTTCTCTCCTTGACAGGTGCTGTCTTCAGTTTGGGCCTACTACCGCTGACTCTCCGCTCTATCGTCTGTAAGTTCCTGGGCTGGTGTACTGTTGCAAGTTCTTCAATATATCAGCTACTGTATTCCGAGCCTCTGTGTGCTTACTGCCGTTGCACCACGCTGCACCTACCCAACAATTATATGGGATAATTCCCAGTCATTATACCGGAAGCAGTAAAGAGTATGGGATAGCGCCACCCGCTGGCTGGATAAAATATACAAAATAAACACAGTACATCCCCTTGATATGAGAAGTAGCAGTCTTAGAGAACTCCATTCAGCAGAGAAATTACTAATAAACATTAAAATGATTAGATAAATAATAGGAGCAGTGCTGGACAAGTATAGATGCTAGATGGACAGATAGGAGAGGGATATGTCCCAACTTCTCTGAGAACGAAAGGTGACAGACTGTAAAGGTCAAGTCCCTGTTAGGACCAGATGACCAATACGGGGCCCAACATCATCACATTTAATATCCAGGTTTCTGGGATACTTTAAATGAGTACCCTGGTACATGGGTGGCCCCAGGAACATGAAGACTGCATGATCTGGTCCTAATGGGAGGCCTTTTTCTGGTAAAAAGGAGAAAAGGATCATGGGATTGTCATTGTTAGGAGGTAGTGAAATCCAAACATCAAAACCAGATGGTGGAAACTGGACTTTGTAAATAACATAGCCAAGGTCTTGGCAGGTGGTATACTAGCAAGGTCAGGTCAAGCAAGACATCGGATCCAAGGAATCCAACAGGCTGTAGGTTGAAGAAGCAGGATCACACGGTTTCAGGAAAAAAGAAAGTAACAGAGTTCAGACATATGGAGAACAGATAGGAGGCAGGAGTAATACTAACTAGGAGAAAGAGCCAAGAACAGAGGAACAGGAGCTTGCCAGCATTCTAGGATACTATATATGAGTAGACTGGTACTTGGGTGCCCCCAGGAACACAAACAATGGATTAGCTGGTCTTAATGGGAGGCCTTTCACCAGTAACAAAGAGATCATGTGATTGTAGAGTGGAGTAGCCAAGGGTCATTGTTAGGTGTAATGAGATCCAACATCAAAACCAGATGGTGGAAAATGGATTTAGTAAATAACAAAGCCAAAGTCTCAGCAGGTGGTGTACTAGCAAGGTTAGGTCAAGCATGAAATCAGATCCAAGGAATCCAACAGGTCAGAGGTAGAAGAAGCAGGATCAGGAGTATCAGGCAAAGGAAGACATCAGGGTTCACACATACTAAGAAAAGACAGGAGCTAGGATTAATACTAACTGGGAGAAAGAGCCAAGAATACAACATCAGGAACATGCCAGCTTTCTAGGATACTTTATATGAGTACTTTGGTACTTGGCTGGCCCCAGGAACATGAACACTGGATAATCTGGTCTTAAAAGGAGGCCTTTCTGCAGAAACAAGGAGCCAGGGATCATCGTATTGTAGAGTGGAGTAACCAAGGGTCATTGTTAGGAGGTAATGAGATCCAGACACCAAAACATGATGGTGGAACATAGACTTAGTAAAAAGCCAAGCCAAGGTCTCAACAGGTGGCGTACTAGCAAGGTCAGGTCAAGCAAGACATCAGGTCCAAGGAATCCAGTGGGTCGGAGGTAGAAGTAGAAGGATCAAGGGTATCAGGAAAAATTAAGGCAACAGGGTTCAGACATACTGAGAACAGACAGGAGCCAGGAGTAATACGGAGTAGGAGAAAAGGCCAAGAATACGGGAACAGGACTGGGGAACTAGGAGCACTCTGAGGACAGGTGGACAGCAGGACTCAGGGAGGAGAAAAGGAACAACATTGAAAGAAGAAGGTGGATACCAGGGAAGACAACATAAACAACAGACAGAAACAAACGTTTTAACAGGAGGACACAGTGTGAAGACCACACCACCAGCCAAGTACCTGACATTCAACCACATGACCAATAGGGCAGCTAGCCTTAACTGACCACCAAGCATTCAGATGGGCAAACACCTACAGGTAGGTACCTGACAGAAACTTTTCATACAGTATTATGTATAGCTAAGTACACCAAGTTAGGAAGTTCAAACATGGTCACTTACCACTTCCTTCCTTAGAACTTGCTATGTGAAGGTCACAGAACAACTTCTGAGGGAATAGTGTTGTTGTTGTTGGGAATATTATTCTCTGTGGTCTGAAGAGCATTTTCCGATGGGATTAAAGTTGAGTGTTTATGGTCAACGAAGGCTGGGCTATCACTGAAGTTCACCAAGTCTGAACTGCACAGAGACAAATCTTTTAGAGTTTGACCCTCTCCAGCCGGTAAGTTATTAATGGGCAAAATGTCATGTACAATGACTTTATCTGTGCTGTGTTCAGTCATTACAATGGCCTCTGTTTCAGGCAAAGAAGCTTCTTCTGTATGATAAGGTTCAATCAGACTACCAGTGACTGGCGGGTGTCCAGGGTCCTCAAACAGGTAAAAATTGGGAGCTGGCAGTAAATCACAAAGTAAAGGTGCCTCTGGAAACCCTGCCTCATCAACATATGAAATGTCAGTTGGTGGAGGCAAAGATGAGCTGTCCGCAAGAAGAGAGGAGCATACTTGTAGAGATTCAACCTCTATTAGGTTTCCATTGGGATCAGCTGCAAATTCAATGGAGCTGTTGGTGGGAAAGGAAGCAGAAAGTAGCAAAGAATCCACTGGTGAGACTGCATTCAAGGTATCGGGCAGGGATGTAGATGTGTTGTCACCCAACAATGTGAGAGGTGTAGGGTCAGCTGGTGGGACTTGGCTGGGTTCAGATGACCATTCAGAAGAGCTATTGGAAGGAAACATAGCAGGTAAAAATGAAGTTTCAGTTGATAATTGGCTACAATTTTCTTCTCTATTGGATTCAGCTGATTCATCTGTGCAAAGGGCCATGCGTGCAATAAATGTGTCACGTTTTAAAACTTCTGTTTTTTCAAGGCTGGTTTCTGCTTGATATCCATTTAACTGATCCAGGGGAAGAGAGCCAGAAGTATGTAAGTTCACAATCACTGGAAACTCTGAGGGAAGGTCACTGGTTTCAGGGCAAAGTTCAACCTGGCTGATGGTAGGAAGTGGAGCAGGTTCAGTTATATTCTCAGATGGCAGAACATCAGGCAGTCCATCACGGGGCTCAGCTTGAACTTCAGATGAGATGACAGTAGGAAATGAAGAAGATTCACTTTTACCCTTAGTTGGTGGAAACTCTGTGTGAATATCCCTAATTTCTCCTAGAGTTTCAGGTAAACTACAGACAGAAAGGGAGAAGGATTTGGGTATATTTTTCTCTGCCAGAATCTCAGGTTGATTGACACTGGACTCATAAGAACTCTCGAAGGGAAGGGGGACAGGCAAAGATAAAGGCACTGGAACCTCAGTTTGGGTAGATTCATCTGCAGGAAAAGGCATGGTGGCCTCAGGTGAGGAAGAAACTTGTGGAACTTCAGTTCTGTCTTCTTTAGGTTCAATTTGACCTTCCAGTGAGTTGTTGGTGGATACCGAATCTGTAACAGGTAGGGTTTGAAGTGGTGGAACCTCAACTGGTGTATCAGAGAGTTCACCCTGTGATTGAAGAGAAACACTGCTAGGAAGGGTATAAATGATAGGCACAATATCAGATGGTAGAATCTCAGGTTGTCTATCGTATGTGTCAGCTTGAGGTTCTGACACAGTGTCAATGGGAATAGAGGCAGACACATGTAAAGTCTCAGGTGTGGGAATCTCACTTTGACCAATAATGGGCTTGCCAGGAGATTGGCATGACATATTATCAATGGCAGGTAAAGACTGAATGTGTGGATCCCTAATTTGTTCCTTAATGGGTTGTGCTTGAGAGTATAGAGAGCCATGGAGGGAAAGAGAAGCAGACAGAGGCAAAGATTCACTTGATGGAACTTCAGTGTGGATCTTACAGGGCTCTTCTTGTAATTCGTTTGAGCTGATATGGGAAATAGTGGCTGATACAGACATCAAATCTGCTGGAGGACTATCAGTTAATGTGGTCATCTGATCAGTCCGATATTCGGAAGGTAGAATGATGGATTCAGGTAATGTCTCTGATAGAGGAACTTCAGTTTGATTACTATTGTCCTCATCTTGGGAGCTGTCTGTGTAGAGGAAGTCAGCTAATTGCATGGCTGCATCAGCTGAAACCTTAGTTTTATTAATACTGGGCTTCATCTGAGAATCGGGAAGAGGAAAAGAAGTCTGAGGTTGAAGAACCTGATTTTGATCATTGCCTAATTGTTCTTCAAATTTTAGTGAATGTTCAGTGAATAGAGATACAGGTTCATGTGTGGCCTCAACTGATGGAACTTTAGATTTGGTATGTTCAGATTCTGGAGACACAGGAAACGTATCAAACTGTGGAGCACCACCAACAAGATCATGACGTTGAGAATCAATGAAACCACCAGTGGGAAGGTTTTCAGGAATAGGTATTGTCTCGACTGATGAAAGTTCAGTTTGATTACAGCTAGGCAAAGACTGGGAATAGGAAGAAACATCCATAGAAACAGCTGGTAGGCCTTCAGTCTGGTTGGCAATATATTCAGTTTGATATTCAAGATGAATGCCAGAACAAAGTGAAACAGTTGCAGGAAAAGTCTCTGCAGGTGGAATTCCAGCTTGCTTTTCAATATGTTCAGCTTGGTTTCCTAGTAAGTTAATGATGGGAGGATGAGCAGTCATAGGTAAGGTATGAAGCACTGGAAGGCTACCTTGGGAATTTGGTTCAGCTTGAGACTCAGGTAAGATGCCAGAAAGAGGGGCCACTACAAAAAAAGACTGCACTGGAAAAAAATCAGTTTGGTTTTCACTGAGCTTCTCGTCAGGCTCAGGTAAGATGGTGCAAAGAGAGGCCACCACAGATAAGGAGTCTACTGGAGAAACCTCAGTTTGTTTTTCAATTAGTTTTTCTTGAGATTCGGGTATGATGCTGGAAAGAGGGGCCACTACAGGTAAAGATTCCACTGTAGACAGCTCAATTTGTTTTTCATTGAGTTCCTCTTCAGGTTCAGGTAAGATGGTGCAAAGAGATGCCACCACAGGTAAAGATTCCACTGGCGAAACCTCAATGTGTTTTTCACTGCGTTCCTCCTGAGGTTCAGGTAAGATGGTGCAAAGAGAGGCCACCACAGGTAAGGAGTCTACTGGAGAAACCTCAGTTTGTTTTTCAATGAGTTTATCTTGAGATTCAGGTACAATGCTGGAAAGAGGGGCCACTACAGGTAAAGATTCCACTGTAGACACCTCAATTTGTTTTTCATTGCAGTTCCTCTTCAGGTTCAGGTAAGATGGTGCAAAGAGAGGCCACCACAGGTAAAGATTCCACTGGAGAAACCTCAGTTTGTTTTTCACTGCGTTCCTCCTGAGGTTCAGGTAAGATGGTGCAAAGAGAGGCCACCACAGGTAAAGATTCCACTGGAGAAACCTCAATTTGTTTTTCACTGCGTTCCATCTGAGGTTCAGGTACGATGGTGCAAAGAGAGGCCACCACAGGTAAAGATTCCACTGGAGAAACCTCAATTTGTTTTTCACTGCGTTCCTCCTGAGGTTCAGGTAAGATGGTGCAAAGAGAGGCCACCACAGGTAAGAAGTCTACTGGAGAAACTTTAGTTTGTTTTTCAATAAGTTTATCTTGAAATTCAGGTACGATGCTGGAAAGAGGAGCCACTACAGGTAAAGATTCCACTGTAGACACCTCAATTTGTTTTTCATTGAGCTCCTCTTTAGGTTCAGGTAATATGGTGCAAAGAGTGCCCACCACAGGTAAAGATTCCACTGGAGAAACCTGAGCTTGTTCTTCATTCAGTTCATCTTGAGATTCAGGTACGATGCTTGGAAGGGAGGCCACCACAGGTAAAGGTTCCACTGGAGAAACCTCAGTTTGTTTTTCACTGAGTTCCTCTTGAGGTTCAGGTAAATGTTGCAAAGAGAAGCCGCCACAGGTAACGATTCTACTGGAGAAACATCTGTATGTTTTTCACTGGGCGTAGCTTTAAATTCAGGTGGAATGTTGGTAGGAAGGGCGGCTGAGAAAAGTAAAACTTCAGTTGATGGGACATCAGATTCAACTTGAGGTACGGGTAAGTTGATGACAAACAGAGGATCTGCTGAGGGAATCTTATATGTTGCATTAATGGGTGCAGTTTGAGATAAAGGAATATTCTTTGCTGATGATACTTCAGTTTGACTATAAATTGGTTCAGCTTTAGCTTCAGGCAAGGGGCTGGAGGAAACTTTGACCTGCAGGGTCAAAATTTCAGTCTGGTCTTTGTTGACTTTCATTTGAGATGTGGATAAGCTTGTTTCCTCTAGGTAAATTGTCTACTGTTGAAACCTCTGATTTATACCCGGGTTGGATTCAGGTTGGCTGGCCATGGCCAAAGAAGCAGATGCTGGTGCCAAGTCTACTGGTTGTACATCTTTTGACTCAAAGGTGGCTTCAGTCTGAGATTGGGTTGGCTGGGCTGAGAGATGGGAGGCGGTTGGTGGGACATCAGATTCCTGTGATTTAGTACAAGGTAGAGTTTGAGGTTCAAGTCGGTTAGATTTTACAGTTAAAGGCTCTAAGTTTGGAACTTTGGTGGACGAAATGTCAGAGTTGGAAATGGAAGTAGACCTGGTACTCAGAGATTTTGCAAATGCCGGTGCCTTCACTGTAAAAGAATCTGTTGTTCTTGCACTAAAAGGTGTATAAGGAGGAGGCGCAACATACTGTAATATAGACCTCAAAGAAGATGAAAGAGGTGTTTTGCCTTCTAATGTTATTGGTGAATCAAACAAACGAGAAGGCAGGAGACCCTCAATACTGGTATTAGAGGAAGCATATGATTCGTAGCTGCTTATTGGGTAAACATATGGCTTTGTTTCTGGGAGTTTCCTTGCAGCAACAGAAATAGGTGGAGATGGTAATAATCTTTGACCAAGGGATGAAGCAGGAGTTGACAAAGCTTCCACAGCCAAAACCGGTTCCAGGACCACTTTCTGAGGTGCAAAAGTTGGTCCAATAGCCTTTGTACTTGGAAGACTGAATCCTGGTGCCTCGGAGCTGAGTGGTGAAGTGGAAATCTTTGTGTCAGTAACTGGTGTGACACTTACAAATGCAATTTCTGACACAGGAGTGGAGATAGAGACTGTGGCCTTTATTGCTGCTGGTCCTTCAGGTATGTGGGAGCTCCTTGGTGACGTTGGACTGTGCCCTTGCTCCACAAGATCTTCAGATGTGTTTAGACTATCAACGGGCACAAACTCTGCTCTGTATACATCACCAAGTATGTTAGTGTTTATAGCATCCGGAGTATCGTAGTATGGAGACGGTGGAATGTTAAGTGCTGGAGGTCTTGTCTGAGCTTTGATGTCCTTGGCTTTTTTCTCACTGTATCTGGTATTTTGTTGTGAAGGCTCCTCTGACATTAGTGTTACATATTCAGCTCTGTAGGGTACATCGTACAGATATGGTTGTGGAGATACAGTGCTCTGAACAGGAGATATGGAGGTCTTTGGAGGAGGTATGGTGCTCCAAGGGGGAGATATGGAGCTCTGAGAAGGAGATATGAAGCTCTGAAGAGGTGATATTGAGTTTTGAGGAGCAGATATGGAGCTTTGAGGAGTTGATAAGGAGCTCTGAGGTGGAGGCATGATGCTCCGAGGAGGAGATATGAAGCTCTGAAGAGGTGATATGGAGTTCTGAGGAGCAGATATGGAGCTTTGAGGAGTTAATAAAGAGCTCTGAGGTGGAGATATGGTGCTCCAAGGGGGAAATATGGAGCTCTGAGGAGGAGATATGAAGCTCTGAAGAGGTGATATGGAGTTTTGAGGAGCAAATATGGAGCTTTGAGGAGTTGATAAGGAGCTCTGAGGTGGAGGCATGATGCTCCGAGGAGGAGATATGGAGCTCTGAGAAGGAGATATGAAGCTCTGAAGAGGTGATATGGAGTTTTGAGGAGCAGATATGGAGCTTTGAGAAGTTGATAAGGAGCTCTGAGGTGGAGGCATGGTGCTCCGAGGAGGAGATATGGAGCTCTGAGCAGGTGATATTGAGCTTTGAGGAGGAGGCATGGTGCTCCAAGGAGGAGATATGGGAGCTCTGAGCAGGTGATATTGAGCTTTGAGGAGGAGGCATGGTGCTCCGAGGAGGAGATATGGAGCTCTGAGCAGGTGATATTGAGCTTTGAGGAGGAGGCGTGGTGCTCTGAGGAGGAGATATGAAGCTCTGAAGAGGTGATATGGAGTTTTGAGGAGCAGATATGGAGCTTTGAGAAGTTGATAAGGAGCTCTGAGGTGGATGCATGGTGCTCCGAGGAGGAGATAGGGAGCTCTGAGCAGGTGATATTGAGCTTTGAGGAGGAGGCATGGTGCTCCAAGGAGGAGATATGGAGCTCTGAGGAGGAGATATGAAGCTCTGAAGAGGTGATATGGAGTTTTGAGGAGCAGATATGGAGCTTTGAGAAGTTGATAAGGAGCTCTGAGGTGGAGGCATGATGCTCCGAGGAGGAGATATGGAGCTCTGAGCAGGTGATATTGAGCTTTGAGGAGGAGGCATGGTGCTCCAAGGAGGAGATATGGAGCTCTGAGCAGGTGATATTGAGCTTTGAGGAGGAGGCATGGTGCTCCGAGGAGGAGATATGGAGCTCTGAGCAGGTGATATTGAGCTTTGAGGAGGAGGCGTGGTGCTCTGAGGAGGAGATATGAAGCTCTGAAGAGGTGATATGGAGTTTTGAGGAGCAGATATGGAGCTTTGAGAAGTTGATAAGGAGCTCTGAGGTGGATGCATGGTGCTCCGAGGAGGAGATAGGGAGCTCTGAGCAGGTGATATTGAGCTTTGAGGAGGAGGCATGGTGCTCCGAGGAGGAGATAGGGAGCTCTGAGCAGGTGATATTGAGCTTTGAGGAGGAGGCATGGTGCTCCGAGGAGGAGATATGGAGCTCTGAGCAGGTGATATTGAGCTTTGAGGAGGAGGCATGGTGCTCCGAGGAGGAGATATGGAGCTCTGAGCAGGTGATATTGAGCTCTGAGGAGGAGGCATGGTGCTCCGAGTAGGAGATATGGAGCTCTTAGGAGAGGATATGGAGCTTTGAGGAGGCGATATGGAACGCTGGGGAGATGTGTTCTCTTTTACATGTGATGGAAAGCCTCGCTTGGTGGAAATTGGAGGGGGTATAAAGAAAGGTAAAGAGTCCACCTTTTTAGATATGCCTGGCAGTGGGGCCTTGGAGAAGATGAAGGCAGGAGAACATGTTGGGGGGCTGCTGGAAGCAGGACCACTGAATGAGTCTCTTTTCTGGAAACCAGGAAAATAGGATGGACTTCGGGCTGGAGGGGTCAAAATAGACTCTGTCATGCTGCGTTGGTATCGGAATGTTGTTCTGCCGGAAAGACCTTTAATGAAAAGGAGATGATTTTAGGTCAAACACTCTCATATCATTTGTACTCATCATAACTATGTGAGTGATTCTCTGGATGAACTATCCCATTGGTCTTGTACAGGCCATCCTTTCTATTTGTAAAGGTTGTCAGTTGAGCTGTGAGTAATAGCCCAGCCCTTCCATGTCCGTAAATCCTGTATTGCTCATTTTACTCATTTTTCAGTTGCTGTTTCCTGGACCCCCATCAAGAACCACCAATGAACTCTGTAAGATGGCTGATCTGTACTTATTACATAATGAGCTGAAATGACGAGTGATCACCATTCTGCAGGATGGATTGGGCAATGACAGACTTCATAGACCAGCCACGGACTCGCAGCATTGGCTGACCACTAACCTTCAATCCATACTGACTACTGGCCTGCGGTATAGAGTGGCCACTGACCAACCTACTGACTACTGAACTATAACTCAGCATTGATCTGCAACACAGATTAACCACTTGCAAGAAAAACTGATCACCAGGGCTGGGACAAGGGGTGGGCAGGAGGCTGCCCTGGGAACTGAGAAAAGATGGGGGGGACCTGTGGAGGGGGAAGTTGGAGGGGGGCAGGGGATAAGAATTGTTCTAAGAGGGGAAATTGGGGTGTGTGCTTGGAATGGTGAGTTTGGAGGGACTTGTGTAGGGAGGTGAATGGGGGAAGAGGATTTCTGCTAGGAGGGGGGAGGTTTGTGCTAGAAGAGGTGATATGGTAGAGGGGGGAAGGAATTTGTGTTGAGGGGGAACTTTTTTGGGGGGAGGGGGGAATTAGTGCTGTAGAGATGATTGGGGGATATGTGTGCCAGGAGGGAAAATTTGGAGAGGAAGTATTTGAAGTATTGGGAGGAGCATGTGTGTGCTGGAAGGGAGGGGATTTGGAGTGTGGGGGGGGGGATTTGTGCTTGGAGGGAGGATTGGGGGATCGGGGGGAGGATTTTGAGTGGAAAGGATTTGTGCTCAGAGGAGAAATTTGAGGGGTGGAGGATTTGTGGTAGATGGGAGGATTGTGAGTGTGTGTGGGAGGGGGGGGGGGGGGGGGTTGTGCTAGGAGATAGGATTGGGGGGAGGATTTGGAGTGGGAGGGAAAGAATTTGTGCTCAGAGGGGAAATTTGAGAGTGGAGGATTTGTGCTAGAAGGGGTGATGTTGTTTTTTTTTTTTTTTTTTGGGGGGGGGGGGGGGGGGGGGAGTCAAGGAAAGAGAGGATTTGAGCTTGGAGAAGGGATGGGGGACAAAGATTTGTGCTGGGAGGGGTTATTTGTTTGGGGGGAGGGGGTTGAGGAAAGAGTATTTTTGAGCTTGGAGGGGGGATGAGGGGGCAAAGATTTCTGGTGGCAGTAGTGATTTTAGAAGGGGGGCAGATTTGTACTGGGAGGAGGGGGGCTTATAATTGGGGGTTAAACATGCAGATTAGTGACCACTAACCGGCAAAACTGAGTGATTCCTGACTAAGGACTGATCTACGGTGTAGGGCACCACAAGTAGGTCATATAAATAATTTGAGAAATTACTGCACCATGGAGTGACCACTGGACCATGGAGTGATTACTGGGCCAT